TAGTATAGGGGAGGGGTGCAATGGATCACTCCAGGACTTTTATTCCTATTTGAAATTTTTTGTGTCACATTTTCTTGCTATCTTTATACTGTCTCATGGTTCTGGCAACTAGTTTCCACTTGCAAAATTGTAGAGTAAGCATGGTTAAATTTGGTGTTCTAAACTATGATATTCATGATAGCAGATTTGTATTTTACTGTTACCCCCACCTTAACATTAAAAATTCCATGACCACAGGTACTCTTCACCCCCCCTTTGTAAAGTACTGGCTATCCCTTTACAGACAATACATACTTGATTTATTGTAGAGTGGTATCTTATGTTCATATAAATATGTAAAGTATACTTTTGATAATGATACTAATGGAGGATCTGTAAATATAATTTTAAGCCTAAGTATTCCTCTTTATATCCTGGAATGTTTTTATTTCTGTTTGAGATTATTTTATCATTAGGGTCAGATTTTATTATTGGCTTATTTGATATGACTAAAGATTTTTTAACAGCACTTTTTCTTTCATTTCTTTTTCCAGGCTTACAGAGGCAACAGCAACTGGTTGGTCATTGATGGCTGCCGTCCGGTCCTTCCTGCACTTCTCGCAACTCTCAGCTTGGCTGAGTGTTTCAAGAGGCCGCAGACCCCCCAATGTCCTATATCGCCTCACTGTTACGTCTCCAGTTTTTTGTTCCAAATTCACAGAAGAAGCAGAAGAGCATGTTTTCCCTTTGGCATACATGGGGCAAAACACCTCCATTAAGGTGAATTTGATGTATCAAGTGTTTTCAGGGAAAGGATAAGTAAGTGGGTTTTCTATAGAGTGAGCTGCATATATATATATATATTTTAGGGTAAGATACCTAGTTTATTTTTATGATGGGCTCTGAGTAGGTGTTAGACTGCTTTTCCAAGATTTTCTAACTTTTGTTTCTTTGTTGTAGGTGGCAGTGCGATCTCTTCCTCGTAGTGAGAAGGTGCCTGTTGTAGTTTGCCATGAAAACCACGAGGAAGAGGACCAAACGGATGCACTGTCAATGGAAGGATGTGTATCTAATTGCTCACAAAATAGTAAAGCAGAGAATGGAAAGTGAGTGTCTAGAAATGTGAAGTGGTTGAAATAGACCTGTATATGATTATGATATTCTTCTAGAAGGATCTTTTTTTGCCTTTCATATCTTTTTTTTCATATATTTATGAAATTATAATCTGAATATGCATATACACATAATGATATTGATATGTTTATTATGTAAGATAATTTTTTTTGTAATTTCTATTTTAGATGTGAGGAAGATCTAAGGCGGAGCATAATGAAGGCCAGACTGGCAGAAAACACAAGAGTCAGAAGTGAATCCCCAGACACCCAACTTGGCGAATCTCTCCTAGACCCCCCAAACTCTCTCACCCGGTTCCCTCGCAGATACCAGTCCCCTTCCCGGTCTGGATCCCCATCACTTGAAACTCCAGAGCACCTGATATGCCGTCAACGTTCACCAACAACCCTTAATACACGGCCTCCAGATCCAGCTATATCAGTTGCCCCAAATCTGCCCTCTCACCCGTTTTCCTGGACTCAAGCCCGATACCCGATGACACCCATGGGCATTCATCATCCTCACCTTGATGTGTGCTCAGCCAATCCAGAAGCCATGCACCTCCAGCAACCACAACAGCATCAGCAACAGCATATGCAACAGAATCCTTATGGAATGGATTATGCGGGACCATACCAGCAGTATAGGAGGCCACAGCTTTTATACAATCGTCCACATATGTGCTGGTCGCAGGTTCAGCTGATGCAGCAACAGCAGAAGCCTCACCTTCATCCAAATCCACAACCATCACAACCCTTAAGTCACAACCCTAGTTATGTCCAGCAGCAGAAGCCTTCATCCCGGGTATCACCTCGAGGGGGAAAGTACCAGCATTATCCCGAGTACCAGATGCAAGATTTCTCTGAATACCACAGGGTTTCTGAGGAAGAGAGGGAACTCCCCAGTGCTTACCAAGACCAGAAAATGCATGGGGAATATCCTGAAAGTGATGCATACTCAGGGATTAGAATGAGAGGGGAATACCCTGAAGTTCCTTCTAAACCCTCTGCTTATAACTGCAGTGATCACATATCTAGGCGAGGAGAGGATTACAGGCAGGCGTGGGAGTGCCAGAAAGATCAGCATGGCTGCAAAAAAGTATCAGATCCTGTTTCTAGTAGCAGGAGCAGCACACGGGTCAAGCAGAGCCATTTGATGTTAGATGAACAGATGAAAGGAATTGATAGTCTTTCAAAAGTCATTGATGATCAATTAAGGCCTTGCTGTTCACACACTGGTAAACATCTCTGCACAAGTCTGGAAGATTTAGCAGATGCCTGTAGTAAAGAAGAACTCAAAAGGCAGCAGATGCATTCAAAGGTTTGTATTTTATCCCTGGCATGATTATCAAGTGAAGCAGTATATTGTTGATGTTGAATGTATTTAAGTTTTTTCAGTGATATATATGTGATCATCATTTTTAGCGTTATTCTGTCCCTTTTACATTTGCAGTTTATTTATATATCTTTTTATTTTTTTCAAAGGACCTAAAGCAAGATCTGAAGAGCAGAAGAGATGTTAGCCCAAGCCACTTGTTACAAGGCAAGTTTAACTTTGAGCTAACCCCAAAGGAGACCATGGAAATCCTTAGTGTCTTGCGTCAGCCAACTCCAGTACCACCACTACGCATGGACCGACATCACAACCCTTCAGAAACTGAGTTCTCAAGAAGCTCCTCAGAAACCAAGAGTCTAAAGTCCTTCCCCAGTGAGAGAAAGTCTGAGAGCCAGATCTGGGGAGAAAAAAGCATGCCAGGCATATTTTCAAATGATGGGGAAAAGAGGACAAGGTACTACAAGGAAGGAAGATGTGATGCCTCTCCTTGGCATGATAGGGATGAGGTGATTGAATACAAGTTGGAGAGAGGCAGCACTGATGAGGGGAGTTTGAAATTGTGTCGAGAGGGACCAAAAACCTTGTCATCTTTTGACCACAGTGGACACAACATCGAAAGGTGCCATAAGGAAAATTGGGCAAGAGGAGACATGCAGAAGTTAGCCTCTAGTCCAGAGAATCGGTTTCTTGAAGCCATAGCTCGTAGTGGTGAAAAACATTGTGATATTCCTAGTTGTAAGAATTTAGTGGATAGTTGTGAACCTTATTGGACCAGAGTAATTAATGACAAAAGCAAAGATATATGTGATAAAAGAGGTGAGAATAACGACAATGAAAGTGTTACACAGTTGACAGGCATAGTGAAGGAAAATGAATGGAAAAACACATCGCAGAGCCCATCTATGTGCATTGAAGCAAAGAAAGTCACACAGAAGACAAACTTTTTCACTGTAAATAGTGAACCCACCAAAGCTATCAACTGCCAGCCACAAAGGCAAACATCCCAGACTTTGGTAAGAAGCCCTTTCAGTGCAATTTTATCCAGTATCCAAAAAGAGTACAATCAAGTCCATGAAGAGGAACAAGTCCCAAATAAGGATGCAGGAAGGCCAACTTCAGACTTTGAGGTTAAAGAGAAAGCAAAGAGGGCATTAGACTTTGAAGACCTTAAAACTGAAGACCCAGTTCCAGTGACAAAGGCCGACAAGATCCTAAAGAGAAACAGTTTACCTTTCCCGCAAGAGGCAAAAGATCAGGCGCCGAGTCAGGAAAATGGGAACATGGTGGAACGTGTGCGGGAGACAAGAGAGGGGTTCACAAAGAGTAGAAGTTTGCTGAAACACCTCATGACCCAGGGTCGCCAACATCCTCAGGACAAATCTCAGGACATCAAACAACCAAATGAAGAGGAGCAGAGGGAAAGCCTGCAGGACAAGGAGGCAAAGGATGAAGCAGAAAACGGTGAAACCCCAGAAACTAACGGGCAGGTAAATGGCTACCACAGTCAGGATGAAGACGAGGAGGTCAAGAAGCTGTGTAGTGGCAAGGGAGTCCCCATTCCATCTGCAAGTGAGAAGGCCCAGTTCCGGCGGTCGCTGGACTCTGCTACCAATATGGTGTTTCACTGCAAGACGGGTCTTCCACTCACCTCCTCCCCAGCCCCTCTGCGCAAAGGAAAGAGATTCGACTATGATTCGTCGCTCACCAGTGTTGCAGCCATTAAGAGGTAAGATTCCAAATGCAGTTTTTTCTGGCAATCTTTGTTTTTTCTTTTATTTTTTGATAGATTGCTATTGAAGACTGCAGTCCTGCTGCTGTTAAAAAGGGTAAGTGCATAGGAGAGTCTGAATGAAGCTGAAAGTGTAAAATTTTAGAATATAAAATTTATCGTAGTTGAAGAAAAAAAATTGGTTTTCCTCCCACAAATGTTAGACTGTTTACAATATTTATTTAGTTTTTTAATTGTAGAACAGAGGTATGTGGGGAAACATAATAAAAGGAAGACCAATTTTTTTTTCAAATATACTTATTGATTTCATGAAAAAAAGCATAACTAGAAAAAATTAAGAGAGATGTGAATGCTGTGTATAGGGAAAAAAAATCCAAAAATTAGTCTGCAGCTGATTTGTAAAAACTTTTTCTTTTTTTACATTATGGTGATTATTTGGCTCAGCTGAGTGTCTAATTCCTCATGCACAGGCTAAGTGGTCTAAGCTGTAATTTTTTTCCATCCATCACTGACCTTTTCAAAAATAATTGTAGATCGACATCGTTCCACTGCAGCGCGTTGTATACCTGTGATAGTGAAGAGGAAGAGGGCTACTCCCTTGACACCCTGGCCAGCGACAAGCTCGGCAATGCAGCAAATAAGCCTGTGCAGCTCTCCACATCGGCTCCAGCTACAGTCACGTGCTCAAACCTCCTAGGCAGCTTCGAGGAGTGTGTCCTGAATGGGCGGCTCGAACCTGTCTCCACCGTGCAGGGCTTCACGGCAGAGATAGCTGCATCAGGGGCCTTCTGCCCCAAGCGAACCACTAAGCCCGTCACTGTCTTTTTCTACACCTTGTGTGATAATGACCAGATCTCATCCCCTTATATGGTGAGTTACCTGATGGTTGCTTTTTAATTTTAAGCTTAGTTTTATGATTTTCATTAGATTTCTTTTTCAATTTGCAGCTTATTGAATTTATTATATTGCCATTTAACATTCAATATTAAGACCTATGAGTGTATGCAGTTTCTTTGATTTAAAACCTTCAAATTCTCCTCCCACAGGGTCACATCAACCTAGGCAAGAAGGGTTACCACGTGCCAAACAAAGGAACAGTCCAGGTGACGCTGTTCAACCCCCATGGGACCGTTGTGAAGATGTTTGTGGTCATGTATGACCTGTCAGATATGCCGCCCAACTCTCGCACGTTTGTCCGTCAGCGCACCCTCAACATGCCTGTTGGGGCCACTGATTCCGATCCCAATGCTCATCAGTGGCTTCGTTACCTCATTCATCTCAGGTGAGATCCATTGCCCAATTTGAAGGTTGTGTGTGTTACTTATTCATTGTGTACTTATTTTATGGCTTTGATTCTGTAATTTCTAAGGAGACTGTCACTGAATTCACTGTTTCTGCAGTACAACTCTTTGCCAACCAAGGGTGGGTCTGCATGGTACACTTTAGTTTATTTTGATAATACTATATGATGATACAATCAATATTTAAATGATGCTGTGTAAGATTGTATATGATATGTTGGCTAAAATGTCTTCAGTTGAGTTGATATAATGACCTAAATATAGCTAATAAAAAAAAGTTGAGCTCAGATAGTATATCTTTGTGTTACCTTTGTTTATCCTGGAAAATGTAGTTTTTCAAAATTACAAATGACATACTTCAGTCACAGACTAGTGTCCCATTTCTCCTCATTGCACAATTTCCAGATTCTATGCCTTGGCTTTTCAATCCCCTATGTTTGTTCACTTGCTAATCTCACTTTATTTTCCAGGTTTGTCAGCTCCAAGTCTGGCAAGATCTACCTCCACACTGATATACGCATGTTAATCTTCCGGAAGAGTGATGCCGATGCTGCCACCCTGCACAAAACGAGTGTTCCGTATGAGTTACGTTCCTTCACTCACGGACCAACCAATCCAAAATTCTCACCCAGAAAGTAACACTTGAAAACATTGTCGTGTCATCATGCAACTGCACTGCCTCTCCTCCTTTATAGCGTTCAGAGATCCTGCCATCGTTCAGAAAAGGAAGATTTTCTATCATATAGGTGAAGATGATTCATGTAAAAGATTATATTATAGAGTTGAGATATCTTCACCTCAGGAGTCAAAATGAAAATAGAGAGTCAAGATTTAATATCAAAGATTATTTAAGATAGAAGGAAAAGAGATTATGCAGACACATGTTGGTATTAAACTTTTCTGAAGGAAGGTAAAGGACTAAAGGAGGAACTGTTAATATAAGATATATTTCTAACTTTACATGTGATTTGGTGCTCAGCCAAAGTAACAATATTTACATTATATATAATGCTTCCAGCCTGAAACTAAGAACCTATTCCACCCACACCCCTGTGTCAATATTTCTTGTGGAGTTTTGACTCCTGCAAATTTGTTAACTCGCCATCCATCAGCATTAGATGCAATCTCCATTCAAACCATATCAGAAGATACAGATCACATAATATTTTAAAAAGTAAAGGAAAAAGATTAAAGGGAAAGGAAGTTGTCAGTGTGATTTATGCCTAGTATTATACTTAAAAGTGTGGTAGAAGCAGAGGTGCAGCAGACACTACCCTATTGTCTGCTTTTGTGATAGATGTTTCTGTTGAAAGCAAATGCTGATCTCAGTATTGCCTGTGGGATTCTATATGGAATTTGTTATTTTCTATAGTTTCCTGTCTCGTGATGCAGTATTGATTATGTTTGAGTTTGTCTGTACTCTCTGATTTTCATTATCATTTGTGTTTCTGTACAGTTCAAATGATTTTTATTCACTTGCATGTGGCAGTGAACATTATTAGTCAAGTCATGTGCTTTTTACTGATTTGGAAATAACTATTAATACAGGTAGTTAAGATTTCCATGATAGAAAAAAAGAAAAAAAATATATTTTGGCAGCCTGTAAATAGCATGAGTATCTGTCATATATTTGGAAATATATGTAATACTACAATGTATCAGGCTTTGGAAAATTTGCCATACTTCCCAAGAAAGAATCACTATTGTTTTCATAGGAAAAGGTTCTCCATATGTAATCTGTGATAACAACAAGCCTGGTACAGCCATCAATCAGTATGATTATAGCAAAGACCTACAACTGAAGATGCGTTAGTTCTGAGGGAATAAGATGAAGGCTTTGATCAGAAAGGGTTTTCATGACAGACCTACAATAACATAGCTCTGCTTGCTAGAGCATTTCATAGCTAGCTACAGTGACAGGATGGTCCCATAACCCTATGGGAGTTTTATAGCTAGGATGTTTGAGTGGATCTTCAGTTTCAACTTCACTAGCCAAAACAGGATTGATTCAAACTTATGCATTTGTGCAGATGTGTCTTGTTTCTTTAAATTTGTTTTGGGTATGTGACAATGCATGTAAAAAATGTGTCTGTAATGAAAAAGAGTGTATGGAAAAGTGATTGTTGTTCCATATGACCATGAATGGATTTTTCAAGTGTAATTGTAGGTGGAAGGCAGATTTTGAATGAATGACTTGCTATATATATATATCCATTCTCACAATTGTAAGTTAGCATATACAAAATATTAGCCTGCAGAATATTGAAGCTTCATGTAAGAGTGCTTATATGACAAAAACCCTGATAGTATTCTGAAATGTATCTATTGTATATTTTTAATGTTACTGTCTTCAGAATATATAAGAATGTCTTCAGAATATATAAGAATATTAAGTGAATTATGCTCATTTTACATTGTTCATATTATATTTCTGTAGTGAAGAGAATCTCTTCCTGATTGAGACTTCAAAAGTATATTTTATGAATACTGAAATCCCTATAGTAAAAAAAATAGCTCAGACCTGCTTTTAGATCTTGTATTTAAAATGGATGAAACAGTGTCCAGTGAAAACCCATAGATTTCATTTATGCAGATGTAGAGGGAAGGAAAAATGTATCTAGAGACATAAACACACCAGTGGATATTGTGATTTTCCTGCTTTTTCCATTTTCCATCCAGTTTCATCTCACTTCCAATCATTTGTCCTCTCTACAGCTCTTCCCCATCATGATACACTTTTCAGGTAATCTTTAGACCTTGTAATGAATATACTGAAATGAGCTGCAGCATTTGAGTTGGCAATGCTCTCATCTCAGCATGTCTCTTTGTCCAATAGTCTTGAAAAACACGGATTAAGTGTTATATGTGAATGTGTATATTACATAGATGATATGTAATGTACATTGAAGAGATGCCTTGTTTTTCTCCTAAAATTAAAGAAATGTGTATTATATAATAATGCTTTTAATAGTGTTGATAAGGATTTTTTTGTCATTTATGTTCACCCAAATTTTGAGGAATTTTGTTGAACCTGTAACTATTTGTCCTTTTTTTTCTTTTTTTTCTTTAGAAAGAAAAGATTATTAATTAAATAACTTATTGGCCACGTGGAAAGGTATTTATGAGGGGGGGAAGACATTGACGGAAGGAAATATAATGGTGTAAAGGTATTGGGAGACATTTGCTAGTCATAGATAGACTAATTGAATTGGTATTTTTGTAGCACTGATTTAAAGCTATTCAGACATTGTGGATCCATTTGTTAGAAGATTATATATACAAAATATTTTGCTGCTGTATCATATTTTTTTGTTCTTGTTATTAAACTTTGCATATAATTTTTCATTTGTTTTGTGTTCTTTACATTGGTTTTAGTAATTGGTAGAAGATACAAGGCACAGAGCTTAGACACCACTTTAGCTCTATATAGGGAGAGAGTGAGAGTAAGCTTAAGCATAAGTGTGACTGTGCATGTGATTCAATATTTTGTGTTTATCTCATGCATTAAAACACCTTCGACTGAGATATATTGTAATTCAGAACAGAGGGGCTTTGGCTCTTCTAGAACAAAGCTTGATTCAACCAACAGTTACAGAAATTGATAAAATTTGCTGATACTGATGATACATGAAGATATATATTAGTTGATACATAAATGGATGCAATAGGTTGACAACATTTCCAAAGTATTTACTTTTGTATTGGATAACTATGCAGGATTATTGTTATCAATCTATTCTATTCATTGTGTTTGTTAAACGAGTGATCCAGGGTTTTGTTTGTTTTTTTCTCTTTGTCAAAAAATGACAAAAAATCGTAGACATTCTTTACTTTCCATAAGATTATGTAGCAAAGATAAACATATCGCCAACTATTATGCCAACTTTTGACAGTAAGAATTATTACATAGGAAATGATAGTATATTTAAATATATATATTGAAATACTTCTTATTTGGATATATATGCATATATACATGTATGTTTATTTCATTAAGAAAGAATGTGTGCATACATGTGTGCATATTTCAGGTATATGGGCAATAAACATATTTATATATATTTACATATGTTTCTACAGAAGTATTGGAATAGTTCATTTGACTTTTCTTCTAAAGCTCTGTCAGCTTTAGATATAGTTGCCTGATTTTAACTAGTCCAAATTTCCAAAAAGTATTGACAGGCATGAACAACTAAGTCTTTGCTCTATACAGTTTCAAGATATGTTGAATTGAAAGGAGAATCAAAAAAAAATATCTTTAAGCATCCTCTGTACTTGTATATCAGAACCTTCATAAAGGTATAAAGTTGGCAATGCTATTTATATGTTAAAAGAGATAAAAGAGAAAGAGTATGATAATTATTAAAAAGATGTGTATATACGTATATCTATGTATAAACAAAAATATTCTCCAAGCAAAAGAAGGCGAGAACCTTTGCTGACTGTGAAAACCCAACACTGACTGACTTCAAACAGTCCTAATTGTAACCCTGACTCAACTGCCTGTCATGGAGGTTGAGGCCCAGTTAAGATGAGACAGTTA